TCCTCCCCTTATCTAAGGTCTGGATGACCGCCCCCCCCCCCCTTATCTCAAGGTCTTGATCCTCCACTGATACCAGACATATTTATATCCAGAAAATAACGAAATTAAGTGTTGTCTTATTAGTTATGCCACTGACAAGTCTCAGTTAAGAGTTTTTGGTTTGATTTTGTCCATCAGCCTTCCACCGCAACAGTCTCGCTGTCCGAACCGTCCTCCGTTGTTAAATTCTTCAAACTCTCGCTTGTGAAGTCGTCAAACTTTCCATCTGTTGATTCTTTGTAACTGACCTTGTTTGCTGTTGTCTACGATAAAACTCTTAATTCTGTTGTTACTGTTCGTCTGCACTAAGGTTCGCGAAATTAAGAGAAAATAAGGTTGTTCATCGGGCTGTTATTGCCTACAACGCTTTATAGCCAGGATTTTCCTTGAAAATGAGAAGTTCACAGCTTCGTATCAAACAATGAGATATTTCCCCAAAGCATTATGTATATCAAACGTTGCAAACAACTAAAACAAACTTTGAAAAAATGTTTTGAAAAACCACAGTTTTCACGAACTTTGAAAAACCTTTTTTTAAAAAAATAAACAAAAATCAAAGAAAGACTATCGTCAACTCGTGGGTGCGTTGTTTAGAAAATAATCAATTAGTTATCACCTCTGGTTTTCCCACAGTAAATTTTAGGAAATGATAGAAATTCAGATTGTAAATATACTATCCTTGTTCTGGAAACACAATACTTTTCTTGCTGTTTACTGCACTTTATTAACAGTTATTTAGGTATATATGTAAAAAGAAAAAAAAACAAAAAAAAGACAGCAAAACAAATAAGCAAGCAAAACAAGAAAAAAAAAAGGAAGAAGGGAAAAAGAAAGTCGATAGCAGAATTTGAACCCGGTGCCTCCGAGTTGACCGGACCTCACATAGCCACTACGCCATTGAGGATGATCACGTGATTTGGTGAAAAGGCTCACATTTAATGCGCTTTCCATGGAACTTCCGCCGGCAAACGATCGAGCCATACTTAACCGATTGAAAAAACGACTCGAAGCAATCGGATGAAATTAAGGCTACTTGAAACCAGGCTACTGACAGTAAAAAACAATGTAAACGCATTTCATGGCAATGAAAGAACATATGCGATACAAAGCCGACACAACTCCTCCGCGAAGTAGGACGCAAAACACAAGCTTATGTTTTCTTATCGCGATTTCCGCTGTCATTTTAAACCTAATGCTCAAAATCACATCCATTTCCCCCCGTGATCTTGGGCAGTACTTAAGAAGAAGAAGAAGAAGAAGAAGTGTCTTTGTTTACCATTCATTCATTCATACACATAACCTACTACAAGGTAGGAGATCAAGCCAGCGTCGAAGTTGAAGGAGTCGAAGAGCAAGTGCTCATCTTCTCGTCAAGTTTAACGCCTGGACGAGTCAAAGGCTCTTGAATCGTACTAATCTGAAAGATTCCTACGTGTCTTAAATTTGGTAAGACCTCTATCCTCTAACCGTGCTGTAGCGCACGATGCACGCTCTCAGCGAGGAATTTGATGCCACCGAACTTCGGCGATCGCTTGCTTCTTTGGAAACGATAGTTCTTCGCGCTCTCGAGTACGGACCCGATTAATTACGAAGTGCGTCTACTACGAGTGAGCGAGTGACTCATTTGTATATCCTTGTCCCTGCAATAACTCGTGGTACGCTCGCGCGTACCCACGAGTTAAAAACCACACAATTATAATCTATTTCAATCTTCTTCATGTTTGTCCATCCATGCGTCCTTTTGTATTTGCTTTTCTTTTCATACCTTATCTTAGTTGACACTTTCTTAGCTTGAATTAGGAAATGAACAGGTACAAACTTTGCAAAATGATTTTTATTGATTAGACTGATCGACATGAAACTACCAACTTTTTTGAGTAGATACAACACGTGAATCGGCTTCTGACGAAAAGTGAGCATGAGTGGAACAGTGGTGAGATCACTTGCCTCCCTTTCTCGGGGGGTTGGGGAGGGGGTAATGGCCTTTATGGGGAGGCTCCGGCTGAAAGGGGTACCTTTTTCATGCTTCAGGTATATGAAAGGGTAGGTTTGTTGTTGGTTCTCTTCCTTGCCGAGGGGTTTTTCTCTGGGTGCTCCGGTTTTCCCCTCTCTTCAAAAACCAACCTTTCCCAATTCCAATTCTATCCGGAAGGCTCGGACACGTTTACGCGAGTTCTTAACAACTTCCAAGTGCTCCGTGGGAAACCAAATTACAAATATGATAGGAAATATTTTTTGTTAAAGAGCAAATAGATAATTAAGGATAAACACCGGAGGTCTTAACAGAAAGACTCAATAAAGTTTCGTCGTTGAATTTGCTATGTAAATACGCTTTATTTTTAAAAACCTGGTGAGAATACATATATACAGATTACAATCAAACCTCCGTGTGCGACCTTCTCGGATACGCGACATGCTGTTCGAACCACTAAAATTAGTTTTCCTACTAAAAGTCCTACTGAAAACTGGACCACCAAATCTTTGCATTTTAGGTGGATACTTAAAGAAAGTACTACTCTTCTATACTAATATACTAACCCATGCTCAGGCATGAACATTATACAATAAAATAACCTTTAGTTTACAACTGTGATGGCTAGTTTGGAGTTTGGACAAGCTGGTTTCGCTAGGATTTTATTTGACTTAATTGAGTCGTCAAACCTTATTTCATAATGCAAGGTTGCAAAACTACCACTTCAATGTTCAAAAAAAGACTGGCTCTAGAATATATATATACAATTCTACTAAACTATAAACCTTGCAATGTTGTTTGCATTGTAATCAAACTTCAATTTGCGATTAAGAATCTCGTTTACGAGAAAGGTATTTTTTAGTTGTAGCCTTAGGGACTAATTAAGGCTAGGGAGTAAGTTAACAAATTACCTAAGTAGATAGGGAAATTTTTGCGGATTGGCAATTTTTTGTGTTTTGCGGGAACTAATTTTTGCGATTAGGACAGATTGGTTTTTCTTGCTGGGAATTAATTTTTGCGATTTACATATTTTCAAGCAATAAACCAGTCTTTGCACTGTAATTTTCAGGGAGTTATAATAACTCCTCTAGTGGGGCTAATTTAACTCCTTACAGTGGAGTTATTTTTCGTGGAGTTATTTTAACTCCAAAAAGGAGTTTAAAGAACTCTTTTTCAGGAGTAAAAGTGACCCCAGATATTGAGGAGTTAAAATAACCCCAAAAAAGGAGTTATCCTGTACCTAAAATTTTTACTCCACTTTCAGAGTTAAATTAACTCCAAAAAGAGTAAAAACAACCCATGTAAGGAGTACAAGTAACCCCATTTCGGAGTAATTTTAACTCCAGACTGGGAGTAAAAAGAACTCTTTTTCAGGAGTAAAAATGACCCCAAATTCGGAGTTAAATTAGGAGTTAAAATAACCCCAAAAATGGGGTTATCCTGTACCTAAAATTTTTACTCCATTTTTGGAGTTATAATAACTCCCTAAAAATTACGGTGTGGTTGTTTCTGGATGAAAGAGACAAGTAGTGATTGAACAGGCAAGATTTCGTAGTACTGTATTTTTGTGTAGCGAATTTAAGTTGGAGAATATTTACTCTAATTTATGCGGGAAAAATATGTGCGATAATTTTCATATGCGGTAACTTATTTTTGCGGATGGCTGGAAAAACCGCAAAAATCGCAAAAATTAGAACCCGTAAAAATTTCGTGCCACGCGGTAATCCTGATGTTATTCGTGTCGCAATTACAGTTTTATCATTGTCCGAGCTACCGATGTACACTGTTACAAGAGTGGTGATTGGTGCTTTTGCAAGACGTTTTAGAGATTAGATTACTCAAGGTACCTACACACACAAAAAAATTAAAATCGGCGGAAAAAATAATTAAGCCGGCAAAGATGAACAGCTGAGCCAAGCAAAGTCAGTTCTCTTTTAATTCTTCTAGTCTGGGTTATGTTCGTATGCTGCAGAGTTGACCCTTTACTACCTCATTTTAATTCTGCAGAAGGGCTGTTTCGTTATTCCATGGTGTGTCGTTAGTGTAATACCTGCAACAGTAATGTATAAGAACGTAAAAATTAGTAAAACACATATATTCGTTACAAAAGACTCCAGTTGGGGTAAGTGGCATTTAGGTTCATTTTACATGGAAGAGGGATCCTCCGGCTTCATCGTGAAGGAAGAGGTTTACTTAAGTTTATCTCACCGCTAAAACTTTCCAATTATTGGCATCATAAATAAAAAGTAGGGTGCACAGCTAAAATAGGTTTGAAACTTCTTGCCTTGATGACCTGTGGAATCTCAGTCTTCCCTCTTTGGTGCAAGTTTAGAACCACTGTACTACTGTACTTCAGTCAGTGTCCGCGAAAAGCCCTCTAGTGTCGACGGTCAAGACTCCATACACAGTCCACAATTTGTAGTTTTCAGTGTTTTCGATCAATTCTCAGATCTAGATCTCCGCCATAATATTTTTAATCCGATTCAGTCTTTATATCAAACAAAAAAACCACCTTAGGCTGTTTGTTTTGGTTTCATATCTGGATTTCGCATTCCATTATATTCAGAAAGAAACCAGTTTGTCAGCAAACTCTCACTTTCATATTGAGTGGTAGCAAATAAAAAAATATTCAATTATTTGTGCCTCACGTATCAGGAAAAAGACAAGAGAATTAAAATCATTCCGTGTTTTTTTTTTTTCAAATGCCAAGTCCCACGTATGCATGGGTTGTAATTTAGACTGATAAGTACAGAAGTGTGGTCGAATAATTGTGGTGTTTAGTATCTTCGATGTTAAAAAGCGGTCAATTGATATTTTACCTCAGTCAGTAAAACTGACTTCAGGTGTAGTCAATAATGTGACTTTTAAAGGTAAATACTGCTTTCTCTTTGGTACTTAAAAGTACCAAATGCACCCAAGTTGATAAAACTGCAATAGAAAAAGACGTGACAGATTTCCTATGGCCCTAATTGTAACAAAGCAATTACCTTTACTTTTCTTCACCAAAGTGAAATGACACGTCATCCCCAATCAGCATGAAAGGTGCCCACTGCCTCACTTCAGAGAAACCGTTATTTCGCATCCACTTCATGGTCCGGTGAAGACATTCACTCGCACCTTCTCCTTGGACAAGGTTTTCGTAGAATCTTCTCATGAACTGCTCTGTTGCATCGTCTTGTAAGGCCCACAATGCCACCAACACTGAGCGTGCACCTGATGCTAAGAATGCTCGAGCGATGCCAACAACGCCTTCTGTTTTGATCTGTCCACGTGCGGTATGGCAACAGCTAAGGACCACCAGTTTGGCTGAGAGTCTAACTTGTGAAATGTCGGTCATTGTCAGTAAGTAGTCTGCTTCACCTGGAGTCCCCATTGTGGAGTAAGCGGGGGTAAGAGCAATTTCTCCTCTTTCGGCATCACCATGAGCAGCGATATGTACGAGACTGACTGAGGGTATTCTCTGAAGGACTGCCTGCTTTGTTGCTTGCTCTCCTATTAAAAGGTGAGATTGAGGTAGTAGTCTTGCAATCAACTCTGCTTCTGCTTTCGCCCCAGGCAATGGACAGAGATACCTTAACTCTCCCTTGAAATACACATCCGTCACTTTTGGCGCACCCACAATCAATACACCAGTTTCTCTGTGATAGCCCACTGGACTGTCCAGAATGAGCTTGAGAGTCCTCAAAGAAGGGACAATGCGTATCCTGAAAGAATCTGATAAATAGCAGTTACTTTCATCATGTAATGCTGCAAACGGAACTTGGAAGAAGCAGCGATCAGGAACAACAATGATTTCAGATCCTTCTAGCAAGTCACTTACGGGAGCAATCAACATGTTGTAAACCTGAAACAGTGTTGGCTTTTCAGGGTCTGTGATTACTTCACACTCATCTAAAAGAGGACGCAAGGATGAGAGACTATTTTCCAGATTTGATTCGTTTGTAGGTTGGTTGGCGTATAAAGAGAAGAGTGATCGGTCTTCGCATTGCTCTTGAGGTAAAACGTGAAAATTTCTCAATAAAGGTTCGTTTCCAAATAGGTCATCCACAGAGATTTTGCCGTGCTTGCTAACATAGCTTTCCCAAAGTTTCGTTTTTCGGAAAGCTACCGGTTTGCTTTGTTTCAAAACCCACAAATATATATTGTCATCGTGGTCATAGGAGATGTATAGGCAGGTACTGTTGCCATTTTTCTTAAATACTTCGTCGATGCCAACAAACTGATTTGACGTAAGTTTTGCTAGAGCTCTGGCCCGTTCAAGTTCAGCAACGTGTAAAGCTTCATAGGGTTTTCCACGAGAACAATTCATTGAACAAAACAGCCGATAGGGAGACGCTTTCTTGTCAAAAAATGATATATTGTGGCGATCTTTGCTTCCTAAAAAAAAAGCATTTTTTGGCAAATTTGAATGCTTGACCAGAGATTCGATAAGGCTTCAGATGTGTCTCCCGTTATTTCTATAGAACACCCATTTAAGAAAAGATAAGTCTCAAATTGTATAAATCGATGTTTCCATCAGCACCCTGATAATTTGAAGAGCATTCTCAAGTTAGGAACAACTTTTCTGGAAGAATAAAAACTAAGAACGTCTAAACGGTTGAAAGGCATGTGAGATACATTAATATTTCATACACACATACATACACCCACACACATTTTATTGAATACATATCCCTCTGGGGTTCTTCAGTGACCAATAAGGATTACATGTAATAATGATAGAAGACTATAAAGAAAACCTATTTGTAGAACGCAAATAATTATTTATAGGAATATATTACAATTAAGCCTAAGCAGGAAGGAACTTTCTATAGATAATTGGGTTTGAAAAGAGGAGGTTATAAACTGCAAAGTAGGAAGTAAAGCTAAAGAAAACGACGACAAAATGGAGCGTCAACAATTTTACTCGCTTTGGAAGCATTGGCTTAAGTCTTTAAATTCTTTTGAACGCAGGAGGAGCTAAGCACTTCCGGAAACGCTAGCCTTATTGTTATATCTTGCATGAAGGTCACACTTCATCATCGCTTGAGGGTCCTCGGACAGAGTTTGAGATTGGGGGTTAAAACTGCAGGAGTATCTAATTGCGTCAAGAGTTGCCAGCGACTGACTAGTCTAGTCCTAAGATTTAGAAAAATCTGATTTAGTTCTTATCACACATCCTAAACTTAGGTTGCCTGAAAGATTCAAGCCGGAAGTAACCGTTACGCACAGAGGCGTAATTGTTCGTGTGTAAATTTTACAAAATCGCTTATTTAAGGGGAAATGTAATTACACCAGACCCCGGTTGTTGCTATCTATCGGATAAATCACTATTCAAAGTCATTTGAATATACTTAATTACGCATGCAAGTCATTAGTTCCATGTATATTAAGGTTAATGGGAATGTGTATTCCCCAAGCTATTCCCTGATTGGTTTTGCACCGATACTTAAACCACTCCTGCGTTAGAGTGTAAAGGAGTCCACCATGTTTCACGGCCCAGTCCCTCCCTCCAGAGAGATCTGCGTTCGGTCTCCTTCAAAAGACACTCCGTGTCGTTCCTTGTATACTCCGGGGTGTCTCGTTCCATTCCTTAATCCACAACAATGCTGCAGGAATAATATAGTACTATCCAGCGGAGGAAAACAATCGCATTATCGCGGTCGTAGATAGAAATTTATGCAGTTAACAGCGCTATCCACCTTTTGTATAACCGTGGCCAGCTCTTTTTTCATGTACCAACGCGTAACCCTTAGCTGTTCCGAAAGAGTTTAAATCAAATGTTCCTTTATTCCACCGTAATGATCTGGGATAACTCATTCGGAAGGCCGTCTCAGCTCAAAGTCAGTTGTAAGTCAAGTTGTTAAAAAAATTATTCCCCTTGAACCACCCATTTAAATAGTTCGAAACAAAGACGGCAGCCTTCATTGCAGGCCAGCGGGATGTAAAGAGCTCGTTGACACCGGATTCCAAATTGAATTGTCGAAGTGATGTAATTATGTAAGCTTAAATGGCTCTGCTTTGCTCGAAAAAGGGAAAAAAACTTGATCAGCTAGAAAGTGGCTCCCAAAATGGTGGTTTAACCGAAGGTAATGCTTGTGGCCATTGCGACGAAGCCTCGGCCAAACTGACCGAATTGATTGCTGAGCTGGACATAGCTATTAGACCTAATAGTGTTGATCGTTTGGCAGGGATACCACACGATGACTCAGGATAGAATCTCTGTAATTAGGATCAACTCAGCTGTGCGCAGCGTTTTGCATTTTCATTAATGTGTAGCAATACCTAATTTCCCACAAAATAGTCTAAATTTAGGATTAATACAGTAGATTATTGATACGGTTACACTGAAGCATTCAAAACAGATCGTGAACGTTAAACGTACCTATGTTAGAAAATAAAGGCTAATGTCTCCTCTCTGTGATATTATCAGTAGTATAGTAGAGATGAAATGAACCCCCTTTTGCACTCACTTGCGGAGGAATGCAGTAACGCTGATGACGTCATAAACCTTTGTTCTTATCCCATGATTAAAATGCCGAGGAATCTTATTAAGATAAGGTCATGAGCTATTTTAGGTGACTCAACCCGTTAAACAGGTTTTCTAGTAATTTCTAGGTTGATGAAGGCCTTGCTTTTTGTTCCTTGACCAAAAAGTAAGAAAAGTATTGGTTGGTTAATATATGTTAATGTCACTGAGTCGTGACGTAATTATGCAAGTTATAGGGGCCTGCGCTTTCCGATTTTCCAACAAATTGTTCAAATGCAGGATTATTGATTCTTGGCTCATAAATCGTGCATATTTAATGAGGACAAAAGGCAAAATAGCTCTTTCTACCATGACAAACAATTTTTCACTTTCTCCTCTCCCTTTTTTGCTTTTCCACATTTCAATAGACATTTGTCACGCGGCTGCCATTTTGTCTCAGGAGATTTAAAAAGCTTTGTTTCTGCACGCCTAGCCTCGTTCTCTCTAGGAGGCTAGCATTGCCACCACCACCACCACCACATTTCTATTGAGTTTCGTCCACCACCAGGAAATAGATGAGCGGCAGAAAATAGAAATTGCATAATTACGTGATATGGCCTTCATACACCTGGAAATTACCATAAAACCTGTCCAACGGGTTAAAACAACTGCAAGTGGCGCACGACCTTATCTTAATAAAAATCCTTCGCATTCTATTCATGAGATAAAGACAAAAGGCTATGGCGTCATCGGCGTTACTGCATTTCTCTGGAAGTTAATGAGATTCCTCCACAAAAAGGGGTTCATTTAATAATATACTACTATTATCCATGTGGTCCATATTTTGTCAACACACCATAAATATTACAGTCCTGATTAAGTTATAAGCAACAATGTACCAAGCTTTTCAACTATGTTTAAAAATGCAGAGGGTGTGAGCAGTTCCGAAAGAGAACTATGGTTTTTACATGATGTTAATAGAGAAATTCAGATCTAATTGTAACTGTTTGTAAGTCGCAGTCATCTTGAGGCGGATGACGAACATTGTGCCTGCTTGGTGTTTTCTACTCGATATTTCAGTTTCTGTGAAATAAACTATTGACACGAATTGAAAGGCTTTCAGCAGGATTCTTTCATAGGAACCCAACGAATGTATTTTGTAAAACATCTTTTGGAAAAGGAAAAATATTGCCTTGCAATTTCTATAGCTTAAGAATGGCTGAAAATTTCTGGATGATTGTTCCATTCATCTAATATTATATACGTTTCGAAGTATTTTTTATCAACTTCCCTATATACGATTTTCGAAAGTTGACATATCACTGTCCAGATGTGGCCAGCATGTTTGCTAGAAATAATACCTAAATTTTTGTTTCGAGAACAGTCACGGAAAGAGGTATCAGAAAATCCCTAGTTTTCGTAAACGATAAATAACAATAGCTAAGTGATCAGGAACCAAAACGTAATAATGAGAAACCCTAATAAATTTCAAAAGCTAAATTTGCCCGGGATAACCGCACAGAAAAAACGTTAATAAAGCTGCCTATTTTAGTATGCATGGTTAAGCTTAAATTATCAGCCTTGATGGCCTTACACAAGTTTTAAGGTATTTAGGAGAAACCAGTCTCTGGGTGCCCTTGTTCTACGCAAACTGACTTTTGTTTAAGCAGGCGATTTAATTCAAAACAGTCTTGAAATTGTATTGAACTTCCCCGGGTTGCTTCGTTTATCCCTAAACCCGGTCTTCAACTGGTTATTGTTTGCTTTCGTTTTGTAAACCCAAAATTGCAATATATCTTCTGCATGTCGTAGAAAACAGGAAATCGTGGCATTTGTTATATATCGTGGGGCCAAACCATTCATGAGGACAATATTGGAGGCCACACATGTCTTTATCTATCTTCACAACAATATTTGCAGAAAGCCAGTTTGGACCGCAGGTGACGAAATCATACGCTCATGAGCCAGAATGACTCACTTGATACTTCTCTAGAGCTCATGCAAAAATAAGTTGTACAATGAGAACTCAGCCACTTATAGCATCATGATAACTTTTAGGTCCCATTACAGCTTATTAGGAACACTGATTTTGATTACAAAGAATGTACTGAGCAGTGGGTTTCATCAAAAACCGCAAACCACAAACTGGACCTAATGCCTTCCGGACCTTGGTGGTAACGAGGTTTGGTGTTTTTTATAACTGATCTCAATATCCTACTGATTTTTTTTAAATTTTTGCCTTAAGTTTTTTGGCCTTATTAAGAATAATTTCTATTAAGAATAATTACTTTCACTATTTATAATGAACATTCAAGTCCTTTATTTAAAGATCTAGATGTTGTCAAGTTGGTTGACATTATCACCCTTCAACTTGCATTATTTATGTAAAGCTTCTTCGTCTCTAGCGCTTTAAGAAAAACCTCAAAATAATTCTTCTTGAAAACTACTCAAAATTTAACACCATAATTCATCTGGCGTTTCCGTTGATTTTTACTTTGACACCCTCAACTTTCTTTCTTTACTCTGTTTTAATGTAGAGTGCGCATGCGCGCGTGTGTGTTTTGTGTTTGGGGGAATGTTTGGGGGTGTGTGTGTGGCATCTGACCCAAATAATTATACATAAATTACCTGAGTATGGCTGCCACTCTTCCTTAGCTCCTACGGTTATTTGGGGCAGCCTGTACTCCTCTCTCTATATTTTTGTATACAGTTGGGTACAAATAAAGTTGTTGTTGTTGTTGCTCTGGTCAGAGTCGAGTTGTGACAGCGCGTCAGAGTAAAACTCTACTGAAGCCTGATTCTCCTCTTTGAGTTTGAATTTTGAATGCTTTAGGATGTAAAAAAAATTAAAATTGTAAACA